TCCTTTTTAGTCTTTCCTACATGAATCCCATGTCTTTGAATAACTCTGTCTGTCAATGTTTATTACAAAACATAAACTCATTTTCCCAGTTCCCCTCATTATTAAAGCTATAACTAAAATTAGAACTTCTGCTTGGCATTCATAGCCAGTGCCACTAGTGTCAATATAATTTTAATAAAAATAAAAGGGTATGCTGTTTGGGAAACTTTGTGCCTTAGTGTAAATCACACATGTGAGGAATGACAAGGAGTATATCTGGTCTTTGTCCTAGTCTAGGTGGAGTTTTAAAAGCCATGGGAATTTCCTGAGAGATAACAAGTGTTTTTGTTATGCTCCTGAGGTGACTCCTGGCAGCCCCATAGGTGGCTGCAGGATTTTAGCTGGTCACTAGAAAACCAAATGTGGTTATGGAGCTGGAACTCTGGGCCAGCTGACCTCCAGAAGGAAAAGGGAGCTGGATATTGAGTTCAACTGTATGATAAGCAATCAGTGCTCAGGGAACCTTGACTAATGCTCCACACAGTGTGACTCCCATGCACTTCCTGGTTAGTGGAGACACAGATGGGCAGTGAGGATGGCCCACCCCAAGTCCATGGGGCTGGGGCATGAACACTCTGTGGGTAGCCCTTGTAATAAATCTCCAAACAGAAGTAGAGCTCTTTCAGGGTGTTCTCCAATCAGGCTAGTAAATTTTAAATCGGAGTGGGTATCACTGACAATTCCACATTTATGGCCCACCAATCAGAAGTGTGGGGAGTAAACAAAATTTGTGATTGGCATTGGGAGTGGAGTCCTGGAGGATAAGCTCGTGAACCTGGGTAATCTGATGGTAACCCCCAAAGGGTCTGAACTGAATTCCATCCCACCTACCCATCTGCATTCACAGCTAGTGTCAATATAATTTCAATAAAAATAAAATAGGAGTAGAAAAAGAGCACTAGATGCCTTAAGGTATACAGGCATTTAATATACTATAAATATTGAAAATAGAAGTGGTCAGAAAGTGGTCAGAAGTGGTCAATGCAGAGATCAGCCATCTGTCTCAGGTAGCTTAAACAGAACCATTTCACTGGGGAGGACATGCAATTGATTTGAAATAAAATCACATCGAGGAAATAGGCAGAAGCTCCTTTACTAAAACAGCTGCAGGCATATTATTTAGCAAGGAAGATGTTTTTAGGATAAAATGAAAGCCGTGCATGGAGATGCATGCCTTAATCCTAGGCCTTCTGTCAAGAAGTGAGATAGCAGAATATGTCTAAACAGGACATTTAAGAGTTCAATATAAACAAAATGCCAGTGCAACAGAGACTACTTATCTGAAACAATGATAGTTTTGCATAGCCCTAAATAGACTATAAAAGACCTAAGCAACCAGCCCTTCTTTCCTACTCAACACTACTGTGCTGAAATTGCCATGAGGTCTTTGCCCTTGCTCACATTATTCTAATAAACTAACTACACACTGCTAACCTCAAACCAACCTCCAGACTCTAGATATGGGTGCACTGGATGGCTCATTTGCACTTGGCTGCCTACGTGCTTTTGTGGCTAAGACAAAAAAGGAACAAAAGAAATGAAATCAGCTAAGGCCTGGGCACACTCAGCCATCGATTCAGGGAAGGCCTCCAGAATCCGCTCAAGGAGGGTTTAGAACAAGTTTTTCAAGAATGGACATGGATAAAAGAAGCCAGCTCATCCACTCAATGACCTGTTGGTGTCATAAGCCCCAGCTCCCCTAACACAATGTGGTAACTTCCTTTGAAATAAATGTGACAACTGCTCACACCCATGAAAAGGGCCCAACCACCCGTCTTCTCACTGTCCAACCACATAGCTTCTCCTTTCTCCCTTCCCACTCACGCTCCTTCTACCAACCAATGGGAAGGCAGAGTTGAGCTCCTTTCCTTTAGCTCCTGATTGGTTTTTTTTTTTTTTTTTTTTTTTTTTGCTGGTTGACAATACAGTGAAGTAATTGCTTTTTGTAAAACCCCAGTATCATAGTATTGGGTTTTAAGTGCATTGGGCATCAACCTGGGTTCCATGATAGTGCTCTGAGATATGAGTATTTATAATGGGAAATCTGAATTTTTGTTAAATGCCAACATTTTTAAGTGTACAATTCAGTCGTGATGAGATATCACTCCATTTTGAAAGACATCACCAGAACTTTTTCATCTTGCAGAAGTGAAACTCCACTCTGACCAAATAACAATGCCTCCTTTTTCCCACTTGGCCCCCAGAAAACACCGTGCTGCTTTGTGTTCCTATGAACTGGGGTCCTCTGGATACTTTATATTACTGGGATCAGACAATATTTGTCTCATTCTACCAGTGACTTACTCTACCTAGCATAACATGCTCCAGGTTCATCCGTGGGTGCATGTGGCAAGATTACCTTTGAATTCAAAGGCTGAATACTCTGCTAATGTGCGTGTGAATTGCATTTTGTTTATCCACACATATATGGGTCTATACTGAGCTGCTCCCACCAACGGGCTAGTCTGAAGTACAGCAATGAACACAGATACACACCTATTTCTTCAGTATCCTAGATCCTAGATACACTCCCAGAAGTAGGATCGCTCAATCATATGGTAGCCTTACTGTTACCTGTTTAAGGAACTGCCACCTTGTTCTTTGTAGCAGTTCTGAGTTGCTCTTCAGTCTTGCTCTTTGAGATCAGCATAATCCAAGGAGATTATCTTGGATTATCTGGTCGAGCCCTGAAAGCAGAGAAACTTCTTTTGCTAGGGGAGGAAAGGAAGGTAGAAGAGAGATCCCAGAAAGAAAAGGTTGAGATTCCACAAGTGAGGGCTCAATACATCCTTCCTAGTTCTAGATGATGCAGCCAGATGTAAAGGACTGGCAGCGGCCAGTGAGAGCTAAATCAGCCCCTGCAGGATGTAAAGACCTCAGTTTGATACTGCAATCCATCATCTAAGTGGTCTGGCAGAAGGATTCTCTGCAAAGTCGCCAGAAAGGCCGAGAGCCCTGCCAAGTGCCTTAAGTTTAGCGTTCTGAGACTCCTCATGGGTCTCTCGCATATAGAACAGTGACATATACAGATGCTATTTTAACTGTTAAATTTTTGGTAATTTCTTAAAGTTGAAACAGCAAATATATCCTATCCCACCCTCGCCTGGGTCTGTCCCAGCCCTCTGAGATGACAGCTAGAGAATATAACTGATCCCATACCAATTTCCTTAGATACCAGGACTAGGGTTTTAGAGGGGTGGTTTTGTTTTATTTTGTTTTCCATATGACTCTGCTAGAGGTCAACAAAAGCAGCAGGGATCTCATGTTGCAAAAGGCAAAGTCAGCTTCCTGGTCAGTGGCCGAGAATAATGGGAGGACAGGCACAGCCATCATCAGCCAATCTCCCCTGTGGTGCTCTGCCAGGGGCAGGCACATCTCCACTCCTCTTTAAACTCCTCTCATTCCTTATTCTAAAATATTTGCTTGCAGTTTTTGTTTTTTTAAGCTACCTATAATCCCAGAACTTAGGTGGCTGAAGCAGGAGGATCACTTTGAGTTCAAGGCCAGCCTGAACTACATAGTGAGAGCCTATCTCATAAGCAAATTCAAGAGTACAGCAGGGGATACACTGAAAAGTACATGTGCCCTATCTTTAGGGGCTTTGTGCCCCTTCTTTTCTAGGAAGTGTCCATGAATACCATCTTACTGCATAGTCTTTTTCTTTCTTTTAGCCAGAATCACTCATACATACTATTCTGTATTTTCTGTATGGGTACGTATAGAGCCAGCTTCCTATTTCCCCTCATTTCCTTTAATGATCACACAAAAAAGCTAAAATTACAAACAAGCATAAATGAATATCCCTTCATTTTTCAAACATTTAAATCTCTATGATACACACTCACAAGTGGAACTCCTGGGTTTGATGACGAATGCACGTAACACTGAGAGAGAATGACCAAAGAGTATACTGAATTTATTCCCCCACGAAGTGAGGATGAGTCCGTGTTTTGCCTATGGTCTCTGTACTGTGGATTATGTTGCATATTTTTCACCTTTTCTACTTTCTCAAGTAGAAAAATGGTTCACCTTGCAGTACCCACATTCCTTCTATTCTCAGTGAAGTGTAGCATTTTTCTCTATGTTCACTAGATATAATTCTTTTCATGTCCTATTTATGTGTCTTGCTAATCTTTCATCATGTGGTTTTTAAATTGATTTATTCAAGTTACTTTCATGTGAAAGGTTTGTCTAATGTGCTCCAAATATTTTTTCCCTTAGGTTGTCTTCTGAGGTTTCTAATTAATTGCTGTCATAGTTATAAATTCATATGTGGTTAAACAGATCAATGTTTTTCTTATAGCCTTTGGTTTGGGGCTATTGTTTAATTACTTTTCTACACTATAAGATTACTTTAAAATTCAACTTAGTATATCACATCTCCTTCATTTCTGTATTTTATCCATCTATATTTTACACTTTAAGGAGAAAGAAGGCAGATATACTTTTCCCTAAACAGCTAAAAGTATTCCTTAGTTATTGAAAAAGCTATCTTTTCCTTGATGCTGTGAAGCACTATCTTTATCATATAATACATATAATATCATATAGTACATATAAAGTCTATACTAAATTTATTTTTTACCACTCTGCTTTGGTGTCACCACAAATTATTTTAACTATGTAACTGTATTACACATTTAAAATATTTTATTACTTTTGCATATTTGTTAGCTTTTTAAATGTCTTCAGATGAATTTTTTATCAACATCCAAAAAGTTGTTCATGGTGCTTTGATTTTCTTTGTTATTTATTTTATCTATTTAGAGTGAGGGAGGGTCTCGCTATACAGTTCAGGCTGTAGCCCAGGCTGGCCTCAGACTCCCAGTGATCTTCTGTCTAAGCCTTTTGTCTAAGTGTTGGGTTGACAGGTGTGCACCACCACTGGTTTGATATTTGATTTTATGGATTTTTATTTGACCCAGTTTAGTCACTGTTACAAAGCCTTGAAGTTTACTTACCCAGATCGAAGCCATGGTATCTTTCCTTTTCCTTCAGCCGAAATGACACTGACCTATTTTTAAAACAAACAAACAAACACCAACTTATATAAATCTGTGACTCAAAATAATCTCAGTCCAGCTGTTAATCATTTTTTTTTGTCTAGCACTTTTTGAGACAGGTGTCATATGTAGCTCAGGCTGGTCTTGAACTCACTGTGTAATCTAGGTTGGCCTTCAACTAATTCACAGTGGTCCTTCTGCCTCAGCCTCCCAAGTGTTGGGGTGACAGTGTGATATTTGGATAGACCTGGTGCCAACTCTTAATCTTTAATCCAGAAAATAGAAGTCAACATTCAAAGAAACACCTTCTCAGAAAAAGAATGTCTCTGACATCAGGAATCCATTTAACTAAACAAATATTTACTTGGCATTTAGCATCCACAAAAAACTGCGCTATGACACTCAGGGTTCCATGACAAGGAAGAAAAAATAGCTATGCTTAAGGGCTTGTTAGCCTGTGTTTGACTGACTTAAAAACTCAGAAGCCAAGAGAGGTGGGTGCCGGTGTAGTCTATAGTCCCAGATATAGAGGAAGCTGAGGTAGGAGGATCACTGGTGCTCAGGACTTCAAGGCCAGTTTGGGCAGCACAGCAATTCTCAGTCTCATAAAAAACCAAACCAAAAAAAAAATATATAGATATAGATATAGATATAGATATAGATAGATAGATAGATATTTTTACAGTATAACTATTACATGGGGAGGGGGAGATTAACTGGGAACTGAACCCAGGCACTTTGCATTAACCTACATCCCTAGCCCTGTTCTTACTTTTTAGTTTGAGACAGGAACTCACTAAGTTCTCCAGGCTGGGACTGAACTCATGATTCTCCTGCCTCAGCCTCCCAGAGTGCTGGGATGACAGGTGGGGCCACTATATTGCTAATTTCTTTTAATCAGGACACACTGCATCACAGGGAACAGGAGACAGAAAACTGCTCCTGCCCCTCAAAACCAACACAGATCCTAGTTGGCTTCTTTGGGATTGCTCCTGCTGTCACCCATGTCCCACTGGCTCCAAGCAGCCCTGTCTGCTCCCACAGGAGGCCAGGCCAGCCCTTGGATGGGGCCCAGGTAAACAGCCAGGTCTTTGAGAGCATGGGCTTTCCTCCCTCAAGCACATTCCTACAGGTTGGCAGATCTTCAGCATTGATTTAGAAACACAAACTGACCCCACCCATCCTGGAAACGAAATATTCTAAAAATCCAACAACAGCCCCTGAACTGAGTCCCAAAGGAAAGCAAATTTATAGTTCCTAGAACAGTTAGCCCTGGATCTGCAGGCTCTCTGCAGCTTAAGCCTGTCCAGTTGCGTCTAGGCCTCCATCTCTCGCTCCACAATACACAGTGGAATCAAGGGACCCCTAAGAGTTCTACCTTTGCTCTTAAAGCTAGACACAATTTCTTTGAGCCCCATCTGTAATATCAGCATCATATGTTCTTACTATGTGCTGCCTAGCACAGAAAAGTCCTGGAAAGTCAACCTGCAAGGTGGGTGTTTTTGCCATATTTCTTTATGGTTGCACAGTAGCCATGGGAAAAAAATGTATCGCGTGAATGAGTTAATATAAACCTCAAACAGTCCAGGGAGTCAGAGGCCACCCATTGATAACATCTCTGTGTGCAAAGGCAGAAGCAGGGGCACCGAGGGGTGGGATAAACTCCGAAGTCTCCCTACCCAGTACAGGCAGCTGGACTGCTAGGGCAGAACTCAAGCCAGGTTTTCTGCATCACTTACATTCCTGGACTCACCTGGCCAAAACTGCTACTCAGTCCCAGTTGATCCAGTGTAATTTCTAAAATACTAAGAATGATTACTGATTTGCCACGTAATTTTTGTGAACACCTCACCCTGGAGGCCAAATGCCCTAAACAATAGAACTTCAAACACTTCCTGGAGTATAACAGTGGCCGCTTATTACCTTCACTTCCCTCTAAACAGACTTCACCACACACTCTACGGCTCTGACAAAGATCCGGTTTTCTTTACATTTTCACTATTTCCATTCTGCTCAGTCTCAAGTTTTGTGTCTTCATGATAAATCAGTGGCAGTATCTGCACGAAATAACTATTGTAATGTTGCTGACAGAGGTGGACTGGCGGCTCTCGGGGCAGGCTGAGCCTGGGCACACAACCGGGTGCCCAGCAGCAGAGGGCCCCGCACCCGAGGGCGCGAATGCCAGAGACTGCGTGGGTCCAGAGCGCGCTGCAGCCGGAGGAAACGGAGCGCCCGTCCTGGGAGAGGCCAAGGCCACCAGCCCACACCCAGCGGCTCCTAAACCCTTTACTCCACCCCGCTGCGAAAAAGTGGATCGGCCACCACGAGGGGCCCCGGCTCTGAGCCACTCCACCTGCGGCTCCGAGGGCCCTTCCGACCCCGCTCTTCTGTCCCCAGAAGCTTTAGACGCAGAGGCCGCCAGGGCTCACAGAGTTCCTTGGGCTCCAGCGGGGACAGCGGGTGCCCGCCCCGCCCTGCCGAGACGTAGGCGCTACTGCTCCCCTGCCTCAGTTTCCCCGGTTCTCAAGCACAGGGCTCTGGGTCTACCTCCCTCCACTGTGCCCTCCCCACGTCGCGCAGCCAGGCGGGTGCAGCACGACACTGCTGGGGGGCGCGGGCTGGGGCACTTACCTGGGCGAGCAAGGCAGAGGGGACGCGCCTGCCCCGCGCAGCTGCTAGCTGCTCCGCTCGCGCCGCGCCCCGCCCTGCCCCGCCCCAGCGCAGGCCTCAATCCGGACCTGCGCCCCGCCCAGGAACGGGAGGCCACGCCCACGCGGCCGGGCCCTGCCCCGGGCCCTCTGGCCTTTGGCCAGCTATGTCCTCGCCTCCCACCTCTGCATCGCCTCTTTTTTGTTCTCTGCTACTACTTGTGTTACTGGCTTCGGTTTATTGCACTGTTTATCTTTCTGCAGGCACCCTGGATGGAGGAATTGGTCCTGGCCTCCAGGGAGCTCCTGCCCGGTGCAGGGGCTGACACTCAGCGGGAAAGTGGCCCTATCCAGTCCTTCGGGTCCGGGCACGGTTCTTCCAAGGGTTCGGGGTCTCAGTTTGTGTCCCAGTCCCTCCATGAAGGAGTCGCTGTCATCACCCCCATTTTGTAAGTGAGGAAACAGACCCAGAGAGGGTAGGGAAGTTCAGCAGTCACGTAGCAAGTAAAGGGCAGAGGTAGGCCTTGGGCCCTGGGTATTTTAGCAATCTCTCTGCTCAGCTCCCTGACTTGCTAAGGAGAGGATTAGAACTCGAGATCTGGGAGGCAATCGGGTGAGAGGGCTTTAGGAACAACGAAAGAAAATCCACAAAGCTGAAAAGCAAAACCCTACTTACTATGAAGGAATTGTGAGCAGTTGTACATTGAAAGATGTAGAAACTACCCATTTATCTGGTAGCGGGCAATAAAGTGATAGTTTTCATTAACTTTTTTTCTTTTTTAATCTTAAAGGTGGAAGAGTTTTCTGGCACAATAGAGTAGCAAAAGTCCAAAACGAACAGGTTTATTGAGATGAGGATGTGGGAAGGAGCACACAACCCATGGTGCCTGGGCTGTCTCCTTCCACCGACCTGACTATGGGGTATAGGTAACCTTTGAGCAGGGGTGGTGCTTAGGGCAGGCATTGATGATGCAGAGGAGCTGATTGAAGTTTTCTTTACACACAGACAGGAAGGAGAGTTGAAATTAAGGCTGAAAAGGAAGCAGGAAGTGGTAGGTGTTCCCGTTAGACCACCATCATAACCATACAGTAATTTATACTAGGGCAAGAACCTTTAATTCCTGTCTCTGTATTGTTAGGAAAAGGGCAAAGTCTCTCTCTTACTACTTCCTGCTGAATGGGAGCGCTGTATTGGGGTTCAGGAAGGTTAATGGGATGAAGGTTGATGTCCATGCAGAAGCTGGTATCAGGTATTTCAGCCAGGACAAGAAATTAATCATTGGTAAATGCTCACATCCTAGATTGGAGAAATAAAAACACAAGGTGCTGCGAGGAGGCAGATCACCATCATAATTAGAGGACCAGGAAAGGTAGAAGGAAAAGTGCCCTTGGTCCAGATGTGTCATGCCATCAAAGACACGATGAGGAAGACTCTGAAAAGTAAGCATGGACTTGGGAGGGAGTGGAGTTATGAGAGGTAATTATTCCCCCATCTGAAAGGGTAAAAGTTATAAGTGTAGGTAGGACTTGCCCTTGTTTTAGGAGTTGAGCTGGAAAGAATAAAAAGCATGAGAAATATAAGGCCTGATGATTGAATCACGTTTGGGAAATTATAGAGTAGGGGTGAGAGGTCCATGACTGTGTGATTATAAGTGACATGAGATCTTAGACCTACAGGACTCTCATGTTTAACTAAATAGCTGAGGGCGGAGAGAACTAAGATAGTCACAGTGAAAAAATTAACTAATAGAATGTAAGGGATCAGGAACCAAATAGGATAGCAAAACATGACCTAGCCTGAAAACTGTGGCTGTGGGGCCTTGGTGAGATGGAGACAGGAGATAGGAGATGAGATGCCCACTCAGATTGTTTAGAGTCAGGGGAGTTAGGGTTAGGAGGACACTGCTCAGCTTGAATGATGTGAAACCAGGATGGCAGGACCTTGACCACCATTGAAGTACTGAGGAAGACCAGGTAGAGGCCACTCTACTTTAGTTGTGGTCCTATTGAGAGATCTGAGAAATAAAGGCTGGACCATTATCTCACTGAACACTCTCAGGCAAAACAAATCTTGGGATGATTTCCTGTATCAGAAGTTTAGTAACTACAGCAGTCTCCTAGGTTGTGGGAAAGGCTTTATTTCTCCTGGAAAAGGACAAACAAAGGTGAGAAGATATTTGAGAGTTTTGTGGTGGGACATGTGTGTAAAATCTACCTGCCAGTCCTGACCAGGGATGTGTCTGTAAAATTGATGAATAGGAAAGGAAGAGGGTAGTATGTGTCCGTGAGGAGAGGTTTTACTATAGAGGTGAGAGGTGTAAGCTGTTGAGACCTCAGAGTGTCTGAGTCAGTCTACACAAACACAAAGGAATCCTGACAATCAAGGTATGGGGGTGATGGTCACCATGGTGCATCGGCCACCACGAGGGGCCCCAGCTCTGAGTCACTCCACCTGCGGCTCCGAGGGCCCTTCCGACCCCCACTCTTCTTCTGTCCCCAGAAACTTTAGACGCAGAGGCCACCAGGACTCACAGAGTCCCTTGGGCTCCAGTGGGGACAGCAGGGTGCCCGCCCCGGCCGTGCTGAGATGCAGGCGCTACTGCTCCCCTGCCTCAGTCTCCCCGATTCTTAAGCACAGGGCTCTGGATCTACCCCCTGCCCCACTGTGCCCTCCTTGTACCGTGCAGCCAGGCGGGTGCAGCACGACACTGCTGGAGGTCGCAGGCCGAGGCACTTACCTGGGCCAGCAAGGCAGAGAGGAGGCGCCTACCCTGTCTGACTGTCCATAACATTTTTAACTGACTTAGCTGCCTGTAGCATTTTTTTCTGAAGAAGTAACCCAAATTTCCACGGGCAGAGACGGATCTGACTTCTTCAAGCTGAATGGGGTTGAAGTTGTTGAAAGGCAGTCAGGGATACTCCTCCTCAGAGCTTTTAACTAATTGCTTTTAACTGATGCCCTCAGTAAATAGCAGGCATTTTCATCTTGCATGGGTATACAGCTTTAAGTCTAAAGGAGACAAATGCAAAGAATCAATTAAGTATGCAGGAGTCAAATAATAGAATCAACGGGGTATTTATGAGTATAATTTTAGTAATGGCTTCCCCATAAGGAGGATAAGGATAAGGTCCAGGGAGTTTTAGACACTGACATGTCATTCATTTGTCATACACACAGTTAGGTTTTATAATTTCATAAGTATCTCCTTGCTGTTAGAATGTCTAATGCCATCTGATTTTGGAGAATGGCCTATTTTATTAATTTTACCTTTTTATTTAGGAGACAGATCATCTGCAGTGTCAAAAACCAACCCTGGAAGTGCTATTGCTATCAGATTTACAGGTGAGAAAACCGAAGCTTAGAAAGGCAGGAAATTTCCCACGGTTCTCCCTGGGAACTAACTGTATTTCTCACTGGAAGCATCATTTAGCAGCTAATTGCGTATCACTACAAGTTTTTGAGAGGCATTGGCAAATATGAGATAACATCATCTAAAAAGATAGTTCTTCAAGTTGAACTTTTATTTTATTATCTTCAATGTCTACTCCATCTGTGTTTTGATATCTTATGCATTAGTATTTCCAGGAGGAAAATTGGGAGGAAATGTTCAGTATTTTCTCCCAAGTTATTTTTTCGCCCACGTGACCCTGACATTTACCTCCTCACTTAAGCCTCAAAATCACTGGGAGGTACTATTGTTTCCTCTATTCTATTTTATTTATTCTTTTATTAGTATCTGTTTGCAGTACATAATGCTTACATTCCTTATATGGATACAATAAAAAGTATGCAGTTGGCATGGTGGCACATGCCTCTGATCCCAGCTACTCAAGAGGTTGAGACAGAAGGCTCTCAAATTTGAAGCCAACCTGGGCAACTTAAGATTCAGTCTCAAAAAAAAGAAAAGTAAAATAAGGCTGAGGATGTAGCTTCGTGTACTTGCCTAGTGTACATGAGGCCCTGGGTTCTACTGAAAAATCCAAAATTTCCAGAATAGATAGATAATAAGAATGGACAAATAACAGCAGATATATAGTACATAGCATGATAATTTTAAACTAAACAGTAGTAATAATATATTGAGTGATTCTTTTCCAATTTTAATTTGTTTTTGAGTTGCAGTGTTGCTGAATTGTTCAAGCTGGCCTCCAACTTGCAATCCCCATGGCTTAGCCTCTTTAGTACCTGGGATTACGGTTATGTACAGCCACCATGCCCAGCTAAAATATTAGCAATTTAAATGTATACAATAACTTTTCAACATGATACAGAGACTGTTATTTTAAAAAAAATGAAACTGGTAATTTCAAGAAAGGAAGCTAGAGCCAGGAATGTGGTACAGACCTGTAATCACACCACTATGAGAGGCTAAAGCTGGACAACTTAGCAAGAACTTGTATCAAAAATTTTAAAAAACTAGGCTGGAGATGGATCTCAATGATGAAGGCCCTGGTGTCAATATCCAATACTGCCAAAAGTAAAAGGGGATAGGAGATTTTTTAAAATGCCAGAAATCTATGAATATAAATAACAAAGTGTGTTTTAGTTATTTGATACCAAACATTTTAAAGCACAGCATTATTAAGCGTATGTTATGGGTTGTGTCTAGATGTTCTCCTAAAGTCTCACGTGGTCATAGGTGGGTTTTTCAGAGGTGGCTGGATTTAGAGTGTGTGATGCTGCAATCAAGGATGAGACGGTGAGATTGACTCACAGTGCAATGCTAGATGTAAGCCTGTGAGTGCTACTTGGGGGACCTTGATAAAATATAAGAGGCAGAAATGGGGATGCTGTCTTTCTTTTCTGTGGCTTGTCCCTTGCTGTTTGCTGCTTGCTGGTTGCTGCCTTAGTACCTCTGGTTTCTACCTACATGAACTATTTCTCCCCATGATGCCTCTCTACCATGCCACCTTATTAGGGGCTGGCCACTATGGACTGAAACTTCTACAAACTGTGAGCCAAATAAACTCTTCCCCATTTAACCTTCACTGTTCAGTATTTTGTTTCAGCAACACGTATCTAAGACAGAGTACACAGTTAAATTCTAATGATAATAAATTCAATCAACTGAAAAATTTTAATTTGT